AAATAAAAGTAAAAATCTTACCCAAATACCAGATTAGGAAGACAACAATTTTTCGCATCTTTTTAATTGACTTAGCACTTGTAAAAAACTAAATATGATTATAATTTATTTTGAAATGACTTTCTATTTTTCTTTTTATACACTCTCTATAAAATTCTATTAATCTTTATTAAAATGTATAAATATATTTTACCACAATTCTCATATTAATCATTGTTTATAAATTAATAGAATCTGTCTGTGCCTGTTCGTTACTACAGTGATATTTTACATACATATAACAATTTTACAGTATATCGAAGTTAATTACCAAATAAATTGAAAATTTAAAAATTTTTTATGCATCCCAGAATTATGATTAACCAATAAATATATTACAAACATTGTTCGTTAATATTGTTTAAGTTCTTGATAAATTATTGTACTGTATTATCTAATAATTGGATGAAATGCTTATTATTAAATAACAAAAATACTTTTGATTGACATTAAAAAATTGATTAGATTGATTTTTTTTATTATTATGAAAATGTTTAAAAAACACTTCAAACAAATTCTATTTGTTAATTATGCTTTTTTATTAATCTCTGCTAGCAGGTAATCAAATCCATAACTCATGTTAAAATTAGTAACCGTATTAGTATTATTATAAATAATATTTAGGAATTAAGTTGTTAGTATGATGAGTTCACTTGATAATAAAGATTATGCACAATAAAAGGAGAAAAATACTCTAGCTTGTTTGTTATGTCATTTCCATTGTGGTGTTACTATGCTATCGTTTACACTAAAGCTATCACAAAGATTATTATCCAAGGATATTATTTAAAGTTAAGTAACTTTATAATAAACAAATATACCTCGAACTATTGACAATTTAGCAATAATTTATAAAGGAATATAAAATTATTATACGTATTTATGAAAGAAAACAATTAATCAGCATTAAGTATTTTATGTATTTTCTATAATCAATGAGTTGTAGTTATATCTAAATTTAGAAAAAGTACTATATCAATTTTTACAATTTAAATATAAAATTGCAGAGAATAAAAATTATGTTGAGAATTTAAAAATTTAAAAATTTATATTTTCAATTTTACCTAACTTGATATACTGAAAAATAAAATTAAATTTGTACTTCTTAAATAGCAGGGCTTTAAATTGTTGTAATTTTACCTGGGTTAAATTTTATCCGTCTATACGTTGATAGATTTTTAATATATGTTTTCTATATGTATTAAAAATCTATGTAAAAAATAAAAATTACTTTTTAACACAACACAATATATTGCTATAAACTAACACATTTAAGCAATTTAATTATTAATTTATTAATGAGTTAATTTATGAATAGTAAATTTTACAACAGTTTAATTAAAAATTACAATTTAGACATTATATGAAATGCAATCATAGGGTCATCCCATTTGTTGTCCACCACTATATGTGCCTTTCCATCGGCGCCGACCACTACTTGCCTTCCCGTGCATTTGCCGCCTGTTTTAATTAAAAATAATTAAATAAATAACACAATTAACCAATACAAAAAACAATCAAGTTCAAATACCTGCTAAATTGCCAGATATCACGTCACAGTAGGTGCCGGCGGGCAGACCGGTGTCGGCGGTCATATCAATGGGCTTAACGTCATTATTAATGGCAATGTATGCCTTAGAGCCGCGACTAAAAGCAATTTGGTTATTAAACTCCCACCAGTGCTGCACCGGTTCGGCGCCTGCAATGTTCCTGAAGGCAACCATGTTGTATATCTGGCGCCACCGGTGCTCACAAATCCATTTATCTGTATTACAGCTCAGGTCCGGATTGCGGGTCACGTCTAGTATGTTATCGCTTGAGTCGTGTGGGGGACCGATATAAGAGTTGGAGTCGATAAAGTGATCGCCTTGTCTCTACATTATCGATCACGATAAAAACATTATTATAAATCTACAAATAGATTAACCTAGGGCAATTATTACCTGCAAATTCCGGGGCCAGTAATAACTACTCATAATACGGGGTACAGCGTAAGGCCAGGCGAGCATAAATGCCGTGGTCAGTTTCAGCAACTTGGGCTCAAAGAATGTCACCGTAACATTTATATCGCCCGAGTGACCACGCTGCAAATCGTGATTGTCCACCATCACCACGGCGTCATTATTATCCAACATACCCCAGCCCTTGGGTCCGCCCCCGTAATTACGCAAATAGCACAGACGCTGGTTGTTTAGGCCGCGAAACACCCTGGCTAGATTTTCATAATTTTTGAACTCGATCACTCGCCCGAGTGGTGTATACTCGGTGGCCTTAACATTGGGCCCGTGCTCTATGTACTCGTGGTAGAAAAACGGGTGACTATTGGCCGGAAAGCCGTGGGCTGTGTTCAGGGTATGCAAACTGGCGATGATTGCCCCCAAGTCCTGAGGCCACTGGTGCTGACTGGCGTCGCTCCGGAACCCGGCCACACCATGGTCGATCAGTTTGTTTAAATAGTCAGCCTGGTGTTTGCGGACATTATCCCGGGCTTGGTTCAGGTCCCGTAGGCCTCCCATTTGACACATGCGAGCCTCAGTCGGGTTGTCCGAGTCATGTATGTTGAGGTCGGCGTTAGGACACGACTCCTTGCCGTGAAAGTCCTGCGGTTCGTACGGCACGGCTGTGTAATGTTCGCCGGCGCCGTCGTATGCGTCGCCAGCCGTACCCTTGCCTTTGAGATTATGTGTTAATTAATAAGTTTGTGTTAATTATTAGGTAATTTATAACAAGCATTAGTAAACATGTACTAAAAATAGTAAATATAACAAAGATCTGCACTAAATTCAAAATGTTTTTAATACTGATGAAACATTTAAAATACCATTTGTAAAAAAATTGTTTTTTTTTTGTTATTCTTAATTTTTATTTTCAATGATAAATATAGTTTATCACAAAAGCATTTCATTTATAAATCTACTTTTATTAAATCATACAAACAAATACACTTACCCTGCTCGGCCATGGTCATATGATTAAGCACAATGTCCACGTACACTCTAACACCGGCCTTATTGCATCTGGCTACCATGTCGGCGAACTGAGCCTCGTCGCCCGACCTGCTGGCAATCTTATAACTAACCGGCTGATACCGTTCCCACCATGGTCGATTCACCAGTATGGCACACTCGTGCACCGGCGACACCTGTACGCCGCCGTAACCGTACGGACCCATAAACAGCTCACACTCTTTGGCCACTTCCGAGTGCTTCCATTCCATCATCTCTACGATTACCGAACGGTTACCCGCGAAGTGAGGGTCGCTGTTGGGTCCGGCGCTACCCGTACCGAACCCGACCGTTACTAACACTAGTCCGATGTATAGTGTGTTTGTGAACATGTTTTAATTGTATGGTGTAGTGTTGTTTTTGACTTGCTATTTATACTAGGTTGAAATATGTAGCAGCTGTGACTTTACCCACGCGTTTATCCGGTTATCTATGATTTTATTTGCTTTGATTGATAATTAATTGTGTTGTGAAATAATTATAATGTTTAAAGTATTTTAAGTTACGCATACTGCACGGATTGTACGCTAGGGTACAGTTTATATCTTATTGTATAAGTGAGCACAAAATTAATAGCAAACCAATTATTCTCATATAAGCGGATAATAATGAGTAGTTTTATATAACGTTACACTATAAAGAGGAGGTGGGGGACACTCGAGACACTTCTCTTTCAATGCTAAACTATTAGTATATTTTAAACTTATTTTCAAATAAAAACATAAAACAAAATTATTTTTGCGAACAGGCATTAATTTTGTAAATAAAGTAACAATATATTTAGTGATTGTTTTAATTATATTGTTTTTTGTTAATTGTAATTAAAATTAGTGTAAAATTTTTTATTAATTTATTAAATTTGAGACATATTCTGTAATTTTTTGTAAATTTGTGCCCAATATTTGTTATCAGGTTATTTTATGGAAAGGTTTTGTACAAAATCTGTTCAAATTTACGTACACTTCAGATTTAGTGCATTTAGTGATTAGTAAACTTTTTGTACTGCAATATATTGTCTACTCTTTATAGTGATTTGTTGTACAATAAAACATA